AATAATAAATTTATCATGATTAATTTTGATTTATTGTTTCAGCCCTAATCTTATCGAAATTCAGTAATGCATTGTGATATAAGTTTAGGGCCATATTGTCCTGGTCTAATTTACAAAAAATGGAAATTGAAAATGTTTCTTAACCACCCCAAATAATATTTAGTGCCATATACTGCCTTCCTATAAATGGTATAATGGTATGAACCAGTGGATGATTTTTAGCTCTGTGTGAATTAGGGCTGGGTGATTAATTGATTTTGATCAATCCGTTCATCAGTTCATCATTGTTGGGTCCTTAGGTTTTTAGCTTAGGTTGTTTACAGCTTCAATTTGGTGGCCCTTTAAATTCATGTCACCTCCCTGAGGGGATGATTGAAATAAAGGCTTATTTTTTAAATCAGTGTATATCATTTGGCATTTTTATTATGAAACTTAATTTGAAGAAATCCATAAATCAGATTTGATAGGAAAAAACTTTTAGATTTGATTTTGGAGATTCATTATTGCATTATCCAGCTCTAGTAGGAATCCAGATGTTCTGTTTCTGACCTTAGAGGTCGGGTCAAGTACATTAGAGATTATAGCTGTTGTTTAAGAAAGGCATAGAAAGTGAGAATTTAGGTATAGTTGTTGGTTTTTATGCTTTCTTCTCTGAATCTTATCTGCAAAAGAAAAATAAAAAAAAAAAACAAAAAAAAATGTTGTAAAGCATATATCTATTTCGTCTAGCTTTACAGTCATTGCGTGCTTAGCTGGTCTGTTTTATAAGAACCCTTTTGCATCTAGTGAAATTTTAGATCTGATTTATTAGACACTGTAGTTTCAGTACTCTGCTGCAAAACATTGAACAGTTTTCATTTGATAAATAAAGTGTTAAATCAGAACAAAACCAGCTGCATCTTTCTCTGCAATATTAACAATGAAATGCAGCAAATCTTTACATTACTAAGGGTATAATTATTTTTTTTTAGTGTTTGTATGAACTGCCAATAAAAGATGCCCACCGGGTTTATTCCTCCTTTGCTTCTCAGCACCAGGACCCCTTAGTTCTCTGTCTGAGCGATGCTAGAGAGAGACTGGAGATGCTCACAGGCTGCTGAGTTACATAAACCAGGGAAGGAGACGTCTGGGGTCCCGTCAGGCCGAGCTGCTGCTTCTCCTCCATCTGACCTAGTTGTAGTAGCACACTGCCTTACATAGCAGCTCCCTGTGAGCAGTGTTTGCTCTCCTTTAGTCTCCGCTATAAGCTGCAATGTGTTTCCTTCTATGCAAACATGTTGCAATGTTCGTCTCATCACTCTTAAGGTATTACCTCTCTGTAAATCATCTTATTTTTCTGTCTCGGCGGAGACGGGGTGTCTGTTAGGAGACATCACTCTGATTCAAGAGGATTGTGAATTTTTTAAATTTGATTTCCTCCTCCAGTTAAAGGTCGCATCCGTCCAACCAAGGATTCTTTATCTAAAGTTTGATCTCTGTTGAATGTACCCAGCAGTTTCTGATTTTCACTTAAAACATAAGAGACTCTCGAGACGTCTGGATTTCTTACATTTCCTGTTCTGTCTGTTGTCTTGAAATCGTCCTGCACTCGCTGCAGCTCATTCTGCTGTCTAGCTGTGCTGTAAAGGAAACTCTCTGGTCCCACCAGAATCACAAAGGGAGGCTTTGCTTTGTGTTTCCCCCAGGGCTGGGCTGTAAACTGATTTTTTTTATGTTACCATCATTCACTACGATAACCGGCACACATTTTTCCATGCCGGTAAAAAATTCTGCCGTTTTTCCTGAGTGCGATGCTGGCTGGTCTTTCATTCCCCTTTAATACACTGCAGCAGGTGTGTAGTTATGACTCCAACGATCCATTCAGAAACGTAAACAAAGAGAATGGCGGATCAGCCCAGTGAAGAAGTATCTAACCCAGCTGTAAACGAAATTACATCAGTTAATCCTGTGGAGGTGAGCGAGAGCAGAGATGAAGCTGAGCGTGCAGAGAAGAAGCGCGCTGTCAGAGTTGAGCGCGCGGCAGACCTTTGTTTAGCGAGGGTGTGTAAGTTTAAACGATACACTTTGTTCTTACTGAACGCTCAGTTCAGTGTCACCAAAATTACGCCATAGATATTAGGCAAAAAAACACGAAATGCAAAGTTTACCTGTTGGGACCACCCAAAGCTAACACGTCCAACCTCCACCACCTACAGCACAACCACGCCGTTGAGTTTAAAGATGTGCAAAAGGCTCCATTAACTTTGTACAAAAATGTTTACAAGGGAAGTAAAAAAAAATTGTTTGTTTAATGAGACATTGTTGAATGTCTAAACCTGAATGGGTGCAGTACAAGACTTTAATATTTCATTGGTAGTAATATGTAATGTGATTTATTCAATAAATAAATAATAAATAGATCAGTTGCATTTCCTGCACATGCCTTTATTTCTGACAAATGAGCCAAAGTATTAATCGTGCATTTATCGTCATCATTGGTTTGAGCTGATATTGCTCAGCCCTGCTTTCATCAGAGCTTTGTGAGTGTAGCCCATCTGCTCATCCTCCCCTCATGTTGAACCTAAAGTAAGCTGTCAACCTCCTGTGCCTTCCTTATTTGTCTCCTCTTTCCTTCTTCCTTGTTTCCTTATTTCTTCTCCTTCTTCCATGTTTCATTCCTTGTTAACCACACTATTAATTCTCTGTTTCTGGGTCTTTCCTTCAGTGTGTCCTACCACAACACTTTCCTTGTTTCTTTCCTCATTTCTTCTCACCTGCCTTGTGTTTATATCCTCCTCCCTTCTCTCTTTCATTTTTTAATACCCATCTTGGTTTTTTGCACCCTTTTTCATTTTGGTGCACCTGTTTTCCTTTTCCTTGTGTCCCGTCTTGTTCTTCCTCCCTCCTTTTTTGCCCTTTCTTACCACCTTCTTTCATTCCCCCTTTCATCTTTCCTTACGTTCTTGTGTCTTAGCATCATTCATTCCTCCTGTCCTCTTGTTTTCTTCTTCCAAAATGCTCCCAACTAAGGAGACACAAGAAAATCAAACAAGCAAGTAAATGTAAATTATTGTGCTCATACAATTAATTTGGTTAATTGTTTATGATGCCAGGCCTACTTTCCTTTCTTCCTTGTATGCTTCCTTCCTTCCACTTTTTGTAGGCGGCTGAAACCATACATCAGCCTTTCAGCTGTGAACATTTGCCCTACAAATTCATTACTTCATAATTAAAAGCTACAATGTATAATTTTCACTAACATCAAGTGGTGCACTAGATGAATTACAATTTACTGATGCCTCCCAGTCAAGCGCATGAGACCAACTACGGAAGCCAAGGAGTGACATTCTACTCTGAATGAAAGAGACACATGAACCTCAGCTAAATAAACGATGAAACACACGGAACAGTTCTCTGACAACAGGCGTGAAAGAGGCCTTCAATGTCAGCTGGTAGAACTTCTGTTAAGAATAACAGCAGCGGCTAACTTTTGTATCGGGACTCGTCCATTGAAGGCTAACAACTAGCCGTCTCTACCAGGAGGACAGACTAGTGACCGATGGTCCTTCATTGCAACTAAAAGTAAAAGGTAGAGAGATCTACAGTCGTTTTAAACTCCTCCCCCGCCAACAACAAGTTTACAGATTCAGTTAAAAAACCAGTAAAGCTGACGAGTTTAATCCCTTCAGCAACTGTGATCAAAAATGGTGGCGAAACTTGGCGGCTCCCGTTGGGTGCACCACCCCCTATTAGGGGTGGGTATTGCCAAAGAAGTCACCATTCGATTCAAATTGCGATTCACATGCCACAGTGCGATTCTATCACGATGCATCACGATACTTGAAATATTGTGATGCATGCTGATATTTTCACTGAACACTGTTATATAAAAATACAGCCATTACCAGTGGCTGACTGGCTGTGTGTGATATGAATGGGGTTTTCAATTGATACACGACTGAAAGCCACTGAATTCATACATTGCTGTATTTATTGAAACGACTTTTGGAGGTGCTGCCATGAAACTAAATACTGGACAGGAATATTACTACCGGTATTACTGGAATGGACACGCTGACAAAAAGTGGTTGTGATTTATTAAACTTAAAATAACAAAATAAGAATAATAGGTGCCGTTTACATGGCCTCAGTGGTCCTTTAAAACAATGAAATGAAAACATTCAAATGTATTACATTTACTCTCTTGCAAATAACATGCGTCATATCAATTTCATTTTCTTCTTTGTTTTCAAAGCCAATGAGCATCCAAACGTCTGACTTGAAATGTGATGCAGCCAATTTTCTCAGTTTCCCCCATGTTTTGTTTACGAATGACTCGTCGCAGTATCCCGCGGCCGGAAAAGCTTGTGACACAAGGCGGCGGGCGTCAACACATCCGCGGAGACATCTACTGGACTGGAAGTTGTATTCCACTTGTTTTTGGCTGATGTGCATCAACCATTCATGTATTTTATTTATTTATTCCTTTTTTTAAATTAAGAGTCGATACTTGGCGTCAAGAACCGATGAAGTAGATCACAAAAATTAGAATTGCGATGCATCGTCATGACAATTATTTTGAACACCCCTACCCCCTATATATTTTTATACTACTAATTCTAAGCTAAGAGAAGCCTTTCATTTTTGATGTGAAAATATTGGACTTTTGTGATAAAAATACCTTATTTTCTGCTAGAAAAAGGCCCAATTTCTCACACACTGTCCCTTTAAAGAGAAAGTGTAAAACGTCACAAAGAAGGCTTATCCAGACCTTCCATCCTGAGTAAGGATCCTATATTTAGCTGCATTTCAAAGGACTGTTTTCCTGAGCAGAGGCACTAAAAATAGCAAGTTTGACACAGGATAGGAATAGAGCTGTAGGCAGATGTTTTCTTTTTGCTCTCATTGTGTGGTGAAGATGTTGTTTCTACATGTTTTACTGAATATTTAAAGCCAGTCTCAAAGATGTGGTTATTATAAGTCTGTGAACCGTATTTCCTGTCCCCTTCCTCCTCCATCAGGTGAACTCCTGGAGCGGCTCCATTGAAATCGGCGTGACGGCGCTGGACCCGGCCTCACTGGACTTCCCCAGCAGCGCCACCGGACTTAAGGGCGGCTCCTGGATCGTGTCGGGCTGCTCGGTGCTGCGCGACGGCCGGTCCGTCCTGGAGGAGTACGGCCGCGACCTGGACCAGCTGGCCGAGGGCGACCGCGTGGGCATCCAGCGCAGCTCCCAAGGAGAGCTCCACCTGTGGGTGAACGGCCAGGACTGCGGCGCGGCCGCCAGCGGCCTGCCGCCCAAGCTGTGGGCCGTGGTGGATCTGTACGGGAAGTGCACTCAGGTGACGGTGGTCAGCTGCGAGCCACCGCCGCCTTCTGCAGAGAGGGAGAGGGAGACGATAGAGCGGGACGAGGAGGAGGAGGAGGAGGAAGAGGAAGACGAGGTTGTGGTTCGAGGGGGTCGAGATGATGGGGGGATAGCAGCACTGATGAATGTGGCAGCAATAAATGGAATGGTGAATGGAGATGAAGGTGAGCCCGTTACTAAACATCATTTTCACCGCAGCCATCATCTGGGATTATTTCCATTTCCTGTTTCCACCTTCTCCCTGCAGTGCCTGAGCTCAGCTGCAATAACAGCCGACCAGACAAGTTCCCCAACAACCTGGAGCCTGATGCTGGTGAGTAGATCCTCCTCTGATCAGGAAGGGCTCTGTAGCTCTATGTGGTCTGATGATGGTTATCGTTTCAGTTCTCACAGAACACCAACTCTTTGACGTGTTCAACAACGCAATAGTTTCATTTTATCGCTCCGGAGACGAGGGAGGAGGGGACGAAGGTTCAGATTGGGATGGAGGAGGAGAAGGAGGAGGAGGAGATGCTGGAGGCGACTCCTCTTCCAGAAACGACAGAGGGAGCAGCAGTGGAGGAGGTGCAGCCCATAGTGACGGCGGTACAGGGACGACTGGAGGAGGAAGAGATCGGGGGGATTGTAACAACAGCCCAGCGGGTAACGAAGGAGCAGCGCCAGGCTCCGGAACGGGTGGGCTGATGACCAACGACGCGCTGCTGTTCCACGAGAAGTGCGGCACGCTGATCAAGCTCAGCAACAACAACAAGACGGCTGAGCGGAGGAGACCTCTGGACGAGTTCAACAACGGCGTGGTGATGACCAACCGGCCGCTCCGGCACAACGAGATGTTCGAGGTACTCGCCCTGCTCCCCACATAAAGCCACCTCTTTTGCTCAGGCAGTCAGCCTCATCGGCGTCTGTGTTTTCAGATCCGCATCGATAAGCTGGTGGACAAGTGGTCGGGTTCCATTGAGATCGGCGTGACCACGCACAACCCCAACAACCTGGACTACCCTGCAACCATGACCAATCTGCGCTCAGGTGAGCTCCCTACCTTCAGTACATAAACAAACATGAACGCTTCCTGACATTTCCTGACTCTCTCTGCATCTGCATCAGGTACAATCATGATGAGTGGCTGTGGGATCCTAACGAACGGGAAAGGAACACGTAGGGAATACTGTGAATTCAGCCTGGATGAACTTCAGGTCAGCACCATTGACCATATATAATCATATATTTCTCCTTACCTCTGAGGCTCTGAGCAGTTTTTACTCAGAACTGATCATCTTTATCCTGGCGTGCACTGTGGTCCAAAAAGTTGTTGTTTATCCTGAGAGGATCGATGCTGAATAGTTAAGAGATGCAACTAAACTGATCCTAACTGATGCTGAGGATATTTTGGAATGATTTTTGAAGCCAGTATTGCTTTTCCTTCGTTCGTTAAAACCTTACATATAAAAAATGTATGACAAATGTTACACACGTCTGAATTTAACTGAAATACATCATCAACAGTTATGACAAGTTATGGAGCTGAATTTGTAAAAAAAAAAAAAAAAAGTTTTTAACTGAATAACATTTTTGCAACTGAAGAAACTATTAAACTACAAGAATGTGTTTAAAGCACAATGGCACATTTGTGTTTCGGTTTCATTTTGTTTCCAGTTTTAAAAATAACCACATTTAAATCTTTACTTTCTGATTAAAAATAGACTTTTTTTGGTCTAGTTTCCAAATTCTCTTTTAAGATTCAAATAGTTTCTTTTCAGTTTAAACAAAGAACATTTTTGAATAAACTTCACGAAACCTGTTTAGCTAAACGCAGGGTAGCTACAATGCATGCTCATGATCTTAAGACATGGCTGCTGAATGTGCCGAATTGTTCTGTAGTAGAAAAAAAGGCTCATCTTCTTCAGGTGTAAAGAGGGGAAAGGTATTTATTGCAAATGGACCGATACTTTGGTCCGATAATGACGTTTGTTTGTCCTTGAATTCGCTGTTATGTTCATACATTCTCTGATCACATTAGGCAAGGCAAGGCAAATTTATTTGTATAGCACAATTCAGTACAAAGACAATGCAAAGTGCTTTACATGATTAAAATACAGGAAGATAAAACAGAATCAAAGCAAGTAGGAAAAAATAAAAAACAAATAAAATAAAATAAAAAATGCAGAAACAAAAAAAGAATATTAAAAACAGTTGGATTAAAGAAAACACGTTTTTGTTGAACTGTTTAACTAGAACAGTCGAAGGCAATCCTAAACAAATGTGTTTTTAGTCTTGATTTAAAGGAACTCAGGCTTTCCGCACTTTTACAGTTTTCTGGAAGTTTGTTCCAGATAAGTGGAGCATAGGAACTAAATGCTGCTTCTCCATGTTTAGTTCTGGTTCTTGGTATGCAGAGCAGGCTGGAGCCAGAAGACCTGAGTGGTCTGGAGGGTTGATAAACTGATAGCAAGTCTGTGATGTATTTAGGTGCTAAGCCATTCAGAGATTTATAGACTAACAGAAGTATTTTAAAGTCTATTCTCTGAGAAACAGGGAGCCAGTGTAAGGACTTTAGAACTGGAGTGATGTGCTCTACTTTCTTAGTCTTAGTGAGGACACGGACAGCAGCGTTCTGGATCAGCTGCAGCTGTCTGATCCACTTTTTAGGCAGACCTGTGAAAACACTGTTGCAGTAATCAATTCGACTAAAAATAAACGCATGGATTAGTTTTTCCAGATCATGCTGAGACATTAGTCCTTTAATCCTGGAAATGTTCTTCAGGTGATAGAAAGCCGACCTTGTAATTGTCTTTAAATTAGTTAGTAGTTAGTAGTGCATCAGCAGCAATCCTTGAGATCAAGTGGCGTCCATGTATAACCTAAATTTTCTTTTATTTTCATTTAGTAATAAATGTTTATTTTATTGTTTGAATTGAGACTTCTCTCCCATTTGTTATCATTTTGTGTTGTTGTTCTTTTAAAACAAGGAAGGAAGGAAAAGCAACACCTGCTTCAAAAATCAGTTCTAAATTAATCAGGTAGCATTTACTAGGGATCGGTTACACTAGGGTGACCATATTTTGATATCCAGATCTCATCACCTTTATTAGATAATGAAACACACGTGCCTGCTTTGTTCATGTGCACTCAGCCTCCCACTTGTCGCTAAAGTTTTTTTGCAGTTCATCTGTGAAGCTGCACTTTTGTTTCGGCATTTTGTGTCCAATGCTGGTTGCTCTGCTACATGTGTGTGTGGGGCTCTCGCTAGACCCTCCCACAAGGCAGTCCCTCGAGAATCACGTCAGGCAACAAAGTACCGTAGTATTCTGTGCAAAGCACCAGTTGATTTAAGGGTACGATTATGGTCCCATTAAAAACTGTGAAAACCGAACATTTTCATGAATTTATAATCCCCCTGCAGACACACCAGACAGAATTTAAAAAATGGACATGTTCGGGCAAAAGATGTCATTTGGTCACACTAGCTTACACTAAGGGTGTAGATAATAATCGTTTTGTATCGATAAATCGATCCAACAGCCGACAATCCAATGCATCGACACGTCTTCAACGATTTTTTCCCCTTCCAGTCTATTTTTATCCATTTGCTCCTGGATGTAATTCTGACTCCAGTGCTGCAGTGGCCCAAACCTATTTTGCCCTTCTACCTCGCTTACTTTAGCCACTACCCTCTCAAACATACTCGTGGAAACACAGAGGCATTATTATTTTTCAGTGAATGAGGTTTTCATAGGCCTACGTGGAGAACAACTTGGCTACTTCTGTTATTTGCTGTTGTTTCTCAAAGAAAATGCAGAACGATATTTCAGCTTTCATTGATTTATTTCAAATTTGAAACATTGTCCAGCCTGTTAAAAAAAAAATGTACCAATGAATCGAATTGAATCGTATCGTGGTGTATTCTTGAGTATCTAAAATAACCAAATCATTGGGTCAGGAAATTAATACTGAATCGAATCGCCATGATGGGTGTGATTTACACCCCTAGCTTACACTGACGTCAAAATAATCGGTATCAGCGTCGGCCTTGAAAAAACGGAATCGGACGATCTCTACCAGCAAATACAATGTTTAGTTTGATTTTATTTTTTTTGTTTCTTTGTTTTGTTTTTTTGCTAGTTTAGTTTTAGCTTAATTTCAGTTTAGTTATTAAACTTGACTAAAATAAAGAGGGGGGAAAAAGGGAAATAGATTCTCTATAGACCTTTGCACCGAGAAGAAAAACAACCTGACTGCCATCTGCTGGCTTGATGCGATATAGCAGGGGGAAAAAACGCTAAAACAGCAATTGGAAAATACACCTCATCATCACGATAAAGAAACAAACGTATACTAAGAACACTCTCTCTTAAAATCGTCTCTATTTCAGTTAACGAAAAAGTTTGTTAAATCTGGTCTTCATCATCTGGTCAGGAAATAGTTAACGATAATAACCATAGTAACTGGACGTCTTGTTTGCTGTCTGAGACGCTAAACAGAATGCAAGTCATTTAAGCATGGTAATAGCTGTATTTAAATCCCCGAGAAATAGAAAGGAACGACTTTGATTTGTTTTCCTGGCTCAGCATGTGGAAAACATCCCTGCATCATTATATTTTGCTAATAAATGTTAACATTGAATACCGGTAATAATCTTTAGACACACAGATGTAGGTACTTTTTAGAAGAAATTAATCAGGTGATAATTTTACAGCAGATGTGAGCCAAAGTAGGTTCTCATTGTGAAATCAAAACCCCACTGTGGACTTAGGACTCCTGTCTCACATTATTTCACTGTATAATTTAGGAGAAGTCGTCTGTAACTCTCATTTCTTCTCTTCTGCAAACCAGAGAGCTTTTTCCAACCCTGATAATCTGATTTAGCTCTGTTTTCTCTGATGAAGTAGTGCCCTCTCGTGGTCTAAAAACTGAAACTGGTCTCCTTTTTGTCATCGTAGGAGGGCGATCACATCGGGTTGATGCGGAAAGCCAGCGGCGCTCTCCATTTCTACATCAACGGTATCGATCAAGGCAAGTCTCACCATCATCCAGCTTTCAGGAGGTGAGACTGTGAGTTAACGGCTTTGTGTTGCTGTTCTCCAGGCGTGGCAGCAGCCCAGACGCCCAACGTGGTTTACGGTGTTGTGGACCTATATGGCATGGCTGTCAAAGTCACTATAGTCCACAACCACAACCACAGCGACCGCCTCAGGCGCAATAACGCCATCATGAGGGCGCTTTCACCTGATGTGGGTCGGCCCAGGCCGTCTCTGGCCCTCACTCCGGACTCAGAAGCACCTGACCGCCTTCTGTTTCACCCAAACTGTGGCCAGAAGGCAGCCATCATTTGCGACGGCAGAACGGCGCTGCGACCGCAGTTAGTGCGCCTACTGATCATCCATGCTGATGTCATCTTTGACCCCTGGTGAAGGCTTTTATTCGTTTTCTCTTTTAAAGTGCAACTGATGACTTCAACCACGGTGTGGTACTGAGCAGCCGCCCTCTGCGATCCAACGAGGTGTTCCAGGTCCGCATTGACAAGATGGTGGACAAGTGGGCCGGTTCCATTGAAATTGGCGTCACGACACACAACCCGGCCTACCTACAGCTCCCTTCCACCATGACCAACCTACGGTCAGGTAAGAGAGAATCTTTAACTTGATTCGTCTTGTTTATTTGAAAGGTTAAACTTCCCAAAATGCAGAAATCTTTCAGATATTTTGTACCAACCTCAGATGTTCTACAGGATTCATATCTGTGTTTATCTGAACACACCTTGCGCATCAGCCTACGGAGCCAATGTCTGACAAAATCTAATCTCCTTCAAGTCCACAGTGCTTAAAGAATAAGCTCTGTGTTTTTGTTTTGTTTTTAGCATAGATGAGTGTTTGTGTCAAAGAAACATAGTAAATTAGCCTTTATACACCAGTAACCTATGGATAAATTAGAAAGGACACAACCAAGGTGCATCTACATCAGCTTTTAAGGTTTAAAATATCAAATTAGGTCATTTATAAGTATATTCTTCAGAGCTTTGATAATTTTAAAGCACTTTTAGGAAAAATAATTGCAAGTACGCAGGTTGACTTTGACTTTGACTTTATGCATTATAGTAGAAGTAAGAACTTTTTCATGCCAATGTTACAGTAAAGTTCCGCAACAATGGACTCTGGACAAACAGGCTTTCAAGGTCATAAAAACACTGAAACCCCTGAGGTGTCCTCTGAGCCTAAACTTGACTGTCCACATTGTGGATCGCAGCTGCTAATAATATAGAGAACAACAGTTGTGCAACTCAAATGATGTAGCTGTTGTCATCAAGATTTTAGGAATTTTTTCCCATCTTGAAAATTGATTTTTAAATCTGAAATCTTGGGAACGATTTTTGGCCCTGGCATTTTTCCATCTACACCGGCCCATCTACCCCCCGTCCGAAAAAAAATATATATATAAGCACAGTCAAACGTGTTTGTCTCAAATTTTAAACACAATACATTCGTATTTGGGATAAACATTGTGGATTAACTGATCTATCACCAAGACTTCTATAATGCGGTTTTACTGGTCTTGGTTATTAACACGGACGCCACAGTGACTGCTGCTCTCACTCACCACATCAGCAGGGTTGCCAGATGTCACTGACTCACTTTTTCCAGCCCAAAAATTGTTCATAAACTACCTGGATATACGAAATTTCTTCCAGTTTTGAACCAAAGTCTATTGATCTATTAGGCCATAAATCTAAAGAAAAACATTTTTTTACCCATAGACGGCCATCATAAACTGCCACATTGGGAAACATCCAAACCTGGCAACAATGCACGTAGAATGGTAAACGTTAGCCTTTATATGCAAAACCCCATCCTGCACGGCAGCATATTTTTTCAAAACATTCTAACATAAATTTGGCAAATATAAGAGGAACCTCATAGTTCAGTTTAGAGAAAGCATTTTTGTTTTATTATAATTTAGTTTGTTGCAAGGATTTTAGTATGAAGAAATGGAAAAGGCCACCATATGCCAACCGTCACAAGGATGTTCATGACAAGGAAGGGCTATATATACTGCATGCAGCCTTCAGGTTGTTAACATTGTATTACTTCTTGAGTTCCTTGAGTTATTTACTGTCACAGGCAGGTGCCTTAGCCGGAGAGTAAGTGTTGGGGCCGGCATAGTTTAAGGAGGGCCGCTGAAATGATGACTGGCCCAACGGTTTTACAGATTAACAGTTTGAGCCTGGTGGTAAACAACAATTTGGAGCAGTACCAACCAAAAAGAATTTGTCTGGATAAAACAAATTGTTTTGATGGTTTTATTTTATTTTTTTCAAATGACAACAAACGAAAATGAGTTTAAATGAAATAAAATAGAGTCTATTCTTTAAATGTTAGGAGTAGAAGTAAAACGTCTAAAAAATAATTATTCCAGTAAAGTATAGATAGCCAAAACTTCTACTTAAGTAATGTTGTAGCTTTTATTCTGCTTTTATTTTTCTTCTATTTTACTATTTCATTGATGTAAAGCACTTTGAATTGTGCTATACAAATAAAATGACCTTGCCTTGTAAGAAAGTATTTGTACTTTGTAACTTGACACCTAGCAGAGGTTTTTGGTGATAAGATGCCTGTTTTTTGTTTTCTGTGGGATGCATTTTTTAGGGACATGGATGATGACAGGTAATGGCGTGATGCACAATGGAACCACCATCCTGGACGAGTACGGACACAACCTGGATCGCCTCAAGGTAAGAAGGCTTTTGATCCGTCTTTTTCACCATCTTGCTTTGAGCGAAACCTTAGATTCGATGAACCGTCCTCTTCGTTCTGCAGGCGGGCGACACAGTGGGCGTCGTGCGGAAAGAAGACGGCAGCCTGCACTTCTTCGTGAACGGCGTGGCGCAGGGCCCGGCGGCCTGGAACGTTCCGCCAAACGTGTACGCTGTGGTGGACCTGTACGGCCAGGCTGCGCAGGCCACCATCATGGATGACATGGGTGAGAACCGGAGGAGTGACCCGCCTGGAGTTCCAACCTCTGGAGGGAAAAGCCTGACCCTCTGTGTGTCTGTTTGCCATTTCAGTCGACCTCCCTCCTCTTCCGGAGGACGGCTCAGACGGCCCCACCGCCATGTCCCCTGGGACCCCCTGCTCGGTATCGGGGGCTCCCACAACCACGGACCTGCGATTCCACCATCTGCACGGCACCAATGCCGTCATCACCAACGGGGGCCGCACGGCGTTGCGTCAGAACTGCCGCAGCGAGTTCAACGACGCCATAGTTATCTCCAACAGGTAACGGCCTCCCTTAGCTGCTGCTCAGGACCTCAGCTGTGGTTAAAACAGCTGCTGTGATTTCTGCGTCGCAGGTGCCTTCGGGAAGGGGAGCTGTTTGAAATAGTCATTCAGAAGATGGTGGACCGCTGGTCAGGTTCGATAGAAGCAGGTGAGACGTTCCACCACTTATCCAGGAGATTTAGTTCATATTAGATTTAGTTTCCTCCACTGGATCAGGTGGTTTGACTCTTTTTGCCGTTTACCCGTGATCGTAGGGGTGACCGCCATCCGGCCCGAGGAGCTGGAGTTTCCAAACACGATGACTGATATAGACTATGACACCTGGATGCTGAGGTACTCGCCGTATGGAGGCGATACGGGCTCCAAACTTGAGCTCTAAACGTCTTCTTGATCCATATTTCTGTTGTTTATTTTCTCTCCACTAGTGGGACCGCCATCATGCAGGACGGCAACACCATGCGCAATAACTACGGCTGCGACCTAGACTCCCTGACCACGGGTTCTCGGATCGGCATGATGCGCACATCCAACGGTGACCTCCACTATTACATCAACGGCGTGGATCAAGGCGTCGCCTGTTCGGGGCTGCCAGCAGGTAAAGATCAGCCATAGCTAAAAGAAACCAAGGGTTTAACCAGGTGCTGGAACAGACCGATGTCTCTGTCTCTTCCAGAAGTGTATGCTGTGATCGATCTGTACGGTCAGTGCGTTCAGGTCGCCATCACCAGCTCCTCCGGCCCGTTGGACAACAGCCTCTGTACCAGTAACGTCACGGAGAAGAGCTTCCCCATCCACTCTCCAGGTGCTCCTCTCTCTCTGTACCTGTGCCATTGAGTCCTGATGAATAGTTTTTGTTTAATATCCCTATCCTGTTTTTTGCAGTAGCAGGCGTCGCTCACCGACTCCACAGTAAACACGGTAAGAACGTGGTGCTGCTGGGTGAAGGCTGCCAGGCCATCAGAGTGGGCGGTTATTCTCACGGCATCGTTTTCAGCGCCAAGGAGCTCAAAGCAGACGAGCTGTTTGAGGTTTGCTGATGATTCTGAAGTTCTAAGCCTCTTCCTTGCAAGTTCCTCTTTAATTTTTCTATTTTCCCCCTCTCCTGACCTCCCCCGGCTTGCCGTAGGTGAGGATTGATGAAGTGGATGAACAGTGGTGCGGGTCTCTGCACATCGGCCTGACCACGCTGGCGCCTACGGAGCTGCCGTCCTGCCCGCTGTCCGGTCTCTCTCCCTCGCTCCCGCAGCTCCGCACCAAGGTCACCTGGCTGCTCTGTGGGTCCGAGGTGCGGCGAAATGGCGTGCTGCAGCGACAGAATTATGGCTATTCGTTAGACCGGCTGACGGTGAGGAACTATCTTTACCTCTTTCATAGAAAAAAAACAACAATTTATAGCTAAGTTCTATATTAAACAAATAAAAAAATAAGCATTCGGATGACAGGAGAGGTGGGGTCTAAATGTGTCTCCAGGTGGGGAACCGAGTGGGCGTGAAGCGCTGTAACGACGACACGATGCACATCTTTGTTGACGGAGAGGACATGGGACCCGCCGCCACCGCAGTACCCAAAGTAAAATTGCAGCCTCACTCTTTTCCATAGAATCGGACTCTGAACGGTTTGCACTCAGCTTCAGCTCTGGCTTCTTGCAGAACGTTTATGCGGTGTTGGACCTGTACGGGAGGATAACGGCGGTGTCCATCGTCAGCTCCTCACTGACGGAGGACTCTGAGAGCATCAAGGCGCCCTCGCTGACCTCGGATAGCTGCAGCGAAGGGGAGGAGGACAGCAGCCCTGTTAGGGAGGTCAGACGACGATGAGAACAAAAAGGCAGAACAGCAGTATAGAGAAACAGTTTTTTTTCATACTTCTTTTTTTCTTTGATCCAGGTTGAGAGCGAAACGTGCCCCCTGGTTCCCACCATCATGATGTTCCTAGAAAACCACGGCAAAAACATCCAGCTGTCCAACCAAAACCTGACTGCGGCCAGGGTGTCCAGCTACAACCAGGGCCTGCTGGTCACCGCCCAGCCGCTGGCACGCCAGCAGCTCTTCCAGGTAGCTGTAGCCGTCAGTTAGGTTTACTTTTTGTTTTAGTTTGCATTTTGGAGTAAACTGTTTCTCATTTCCTTTTTGGAACTAGTTTCAGATCGATCGTCTGAACCCGTCGTGGACGTCTTCTCTATCGTTAGGGGTGATAGGCCACTCCCCTGACCGGCTGAACTTCCCCTCCACGGCCTGCTGCCTGAAACGATCCGCCTGGCTGCTGCAGCGAGACTCCGTCTTCCACAACTCTCTAAAAGTAAACGCCTAACCCCTGCGCTTGTCTTAACATCACAAACCGCTGCCTTCATCCTGACACGTCTTTCCTTCAGATATGTGAGAACTACGGTCCTAACCTGGACACTTGTCCAGAGGGGACGGTGTTGGGTCTGCTGGTGGACACCAACAGCTGTCTCCATCTCTTTGTGAATGGAATGGACCAGGGCGTGGCGGCGCAGGACATCCCTTCACCCTGTTACCCCTTCATTGACCTCTACGGCCAGTGTGAACAGGTCAGTGCAGACCCAGAGGAACCGGACTGGACCTTTAGAAGCTAATTTAGTCATCTATTCATGGTTTACTGGAGTATAGACGCTCGAAAACATGCCTTTAGCTGACAGAGCAACCCACTTAGAGCAGCAATTATGAAATATAATTTAATAAGAAAATACACTATATTGCCAAAAGTATTTGCTCACCTGCCTTGACTCACATATGAGCTTAAGTGACATCCCGTTCCTAATCCATAGGGTTCAATATGACGTCGGTCCACCCTTTGCAGCTAGAACAGCTTCAACTCTTCTGGGAAGGCTGTCCACAAGGTTTAGGAGTGTGTTTATGGGAATTTTTGACCATTCTTCCAGAAGCGCATTTGTGAGGTCGCACACTGATGTTGGACGAGAAGGCCTGGCTCTCAGTCTCCGCTCTAATTCATCCCAAAGGTGTTCTATCGGGTTGAGGTCAGGACTCTGTGCAGGCCAGTCAAGTTCATCCACACCAGACTCTGTCATCCATGTCTTTATGGACCTTGCTTTGTGCACTGGTGCACAGTCATGTTGGAAGAGGAAGGGGCCAGCTCCAAACTGTTCCCACAAAGTTGGGAGCATGGAATTGTCCAAAATGTCTTGGTATGCTGAAGCATTCAGAGTTCCTTTCACTGGAACTAAGGGGCCAAGCCCAGCTCCTGAAAAACAACCCCACACCATAATCCCCCCTCCACCAAACTTTACACTTGGCACAATGCAGTCAGACAAGTACCGTTCTCCTGGCAACCGCCAAACCCAGACCCGTCCATCAGATTGCCAGATGGAGAAGCGCGATTCGTCACTCCAGAGAACGCGTCTCCACTGCTCTAGAGTCCAGTGGCGGCGTGCTTTACACCACCGCATCCGACGCTTTGCATTGCACTTGGTGATATATGGCTTGGATGCAGCTGATCGACCATGGAAACCCATTCCATGAAGCTCTCTGCGCACTGTTCTTGAGCTAATCTGAAGGCCACATGAAGTTTGGAGGTCTGTAGTGATTGACTCTGCAGAAAGTTGGCGACCTCTTCGCACTATGCGCGTCAGCATCCGCTGACCCCGCTCCGTCAGTTTACGTGGCCTACCACTTCGTGGCTGAGTTGCTGTCGTTCCCAAACACTTCCATTTTCTTATAATACAGCTGACAGTTGACTGTGGAATATTTAGGAGCGAGGAAATTTCACGACTGGATTTGTTGCACAGGTGGCATCCTATCACAGTTCCACGCTGGAATTCACTGAGCTCCTGAGAGCGACCCATTCTTTCACAAATGTTTGTAAAAACAGTCTGCATGCCTAGGTGCTTGAATTTATACACCTGTGGCCATGGAAGTGATTGGAACACCTGATTCCAATAATTTGGATGGGTGAGCAAATACTTTTGGCAATATAGTGTATATTATAAAAATTTATTTTAAGGGAAAAAAGATGTTATTGAACATAATAATAAAAAAAATAAATAAATAAAATTAAAAAAACTTTGTGTGTCAATATGCTCGATCCAAAAGCTTTAGTTTTTCACCTGGTTTAAATTCTGTAAAAAATATCCTTTAAGGAACCTTTTGCTATGCGATTATTAATTGATTAATAATCCACAGATTAATTGATTAGCAAAATGATTGTTAGTTACAGCCCTAGATTAAAGGAACCACTCTCCTGGAACTTGGAAAGTAAGAAAGGATTCCATCCCCTTTTCTCTTGGATTATCTTCTTTTTAGCTCCACTCAGCTTCCCTGTCACTTTTTGCTAAGGAAAAGTATCAGCACAAAATGCTGCTAACTGTTCCGGGTCAAAGCTAAAACCAAACACTGTCTGCCCTCCGCATGCTCTGCACCCTACTTACTATTATTGAATACATGGTGCAAAAAGAATCCCTCTTCGGTCATAATGGTAAAACTAACAGATGTTAGCATATGACACTTTCAATGCCAACTGAAACATTCCCAGGTCTGCATCAGTTTTGCATTCCTGGTTATGTTTGAGGAGTAAACACTTTGCCCATATTCACTCTCATTCCAGCCTCTGTCGATCCAATTTAGGGTTTTTTTTTGTCCTTTCCTCTTTAAGGTTTTATTTAAATTTTTTTTTTTGTTCCTTGCTCTGCCATAAACCTTCAAAATCCGGCAGCCGTCGAGCTGTTGGACTTACAGCGAGAACGAGAACAGAGCCGTAGGATTAACCCAGTCAGTGGCACAGAGAGCTCTAAGCGTGATTTTAGAGCCAGAGCCAGTAGGGGGAGATGATTGTCTCATAAATACTCAGATCACCATCACAGGGACTTAAGGGAGTGAAAAAGTAAAATTTAAAAAGTTACTTGCCGCTGCTTTAATGGCATCTATATTATAAAGTGTTTGTTTTCAGTTCATCACATCACAGATTTGAGTTTAATTAATCACCCATCTGAATCTGAATGATTAAAAACTACTCGGGTTCCTCTGCCCTGAGATGCTAGGGGGGATCACACCTATTCTATTTCACTGGTTTAAAGAAAAGCAATATGCTAAACATTATATCTACATTCTGATTTTTCATTAAGAGGGGATCAGTGGGATGTGCGGATGAATACAAGACAGACTGAATGATTAGAGTTCAGGAAAAAAAAAAAAAAAGGCTGTACCTCTTGAGCCGCTGCAGGAATTGAATTGGCATTTAACTGCAGGAATCGCAGTGACTGTCACCGAAAAATAGGAAGCGAAAGAGAAAACACAACATTAAAGATGCTGTGGAGGAGTTATCTGGTGGTCCATCATCATCTCCGCCATTTTTTTCCACCTCACAGATGGACCAGCTAGCTCAAGCTGTCTGAATGATAATAAAAAAAATTTTTTTCATGTCGGCAGGTTACCATAGTAACGAACAATGTGCCAGCTGTGGGTGCGGAGAGCGGTGAGACGCGCTTTCAGGGAGACATGGAGAAGGCGGATATGGTTGACGGTACAAATCCACTATTTATTATTTATTTGCTTCAACCATTGCAGCCTTCAGCCTCCTGAGCAGCTTCTCTGTTCCAGGTATCAAAGAGAGCGTGTGCTGGACACCCCCTCCAGAGGTCAACCCCAACAAGACCTGCGAGTACCAGGCTCTCTGCTCCCGCTTCAAGGACTTGCTCACCTTACCAGGTATCTCTCTCTCTCTCTCTTTTTGTTTTAACTATTTCAGGCCAAATTTCCTCTTCCGACATAATAATCTCCTTTGTTGCTGCTTCTGCATCAAGATGGCTACTTTAACGAAGATGCAAAGTACAACCTGTGCTACTGTGAGTCCTGCCACAAGCTCCGGGGGGACGAGGCGTACTACAAGCGAGGAGAGCCACCCCGAGACTATGCCCTGCCATTTGGATGGTGTCGCTTCGCCCTCAGGTAGGAAAGCTGCTCCATAGACCGCCCTATCTACCCTATAGGGATTGCCCTATAAGGGTTGCACATTTAGTCTTAAGGTTTTGTGCAAAGAGAAATTAAGAAATTGTTGGAACGCTATTGCTGCCCTTCCGGTTTTTACAGTTTAATGTGTTGTCTATTCCATTCCATTTTTAATATATCAGATGATATCTTCACTTCTGGTGTAAAATTCTCAGGTTCTGTATACTTATGTTCCTACTACCTAAAATTACACAACACGCAGGAATGAATATATATCTATTTATATATATTTTTTATAATTTTTTTTTGCTGTACCACATAGGGGTGGTACGGTTCACAAAATCCACGGTTCGGTTCACGGTTTCGTGGTCACGGTTTTCGGTTTGGTATATGTTGATTGTTAGCATGACATGTTGGTCGTGTTGCTGTTAGCATAAACAAAACGTGTTGCACAATGCTCGCACACTGTTGCACTTTTATCCACAACTTTCTTTCCGCCGCCATCGTAGGTCACTCTAAATGCAAAGCGCTCCCATACAGCAGACCTATAAAGTGCTGCTGGCACATCTTCCAACTCCTGTTCTTTCCCACTCACCATACCCACACAATTCTCCACAACAACTGATTTTTTTCTGCTACACCCGGCTACGCTGCTTCGCTTCTTCTTCTTGTTTACTACTGGTGGTTGGCTTTGGTCGCAGTACCGCCACCTTCTGCTCTGGAGTGTAAACGCTTCGCCTATGAGAAAATGGAGCAGCGCATGAACCGAACGCAACACCCGCGAACCGAACCGAGACAGTCGAACCGAACGGTTCGGACGGTTTTTAATAAACCGTTCCATTCCTAGTACCACAGATTTCAAATTACATGTATTTTCTTCATCTGAATGTAACATATATTGCAGATTTACCTTCAGGTTTTATAGCTTACAAATTGGTTAAATTAGGCATGATGGGGTATAACTACGAGCACTAAACGGCTGCAAAGCTGCTTTTAAAATAATATTACTTGCAAAGCACTTTATGATTGTATAAATAGATCTCAAAGCACTACAAAGGAAAAGTTAGGAAAAGCACAGTGTCAAATAAGAACCATTTCAATGGCGCATGTGCAGTGAACCAGTACAACAAATTAAGATCCTAATAAAATATCATTGATGGGCTTTTGTGAATAAGAAGATTCAAATACAGACGGGGAGCTCTCACCCCGACATCCAGAATCCTCCGTAACCTGTTCCAGACCACCTGCTCAAAGCAAAGTCTACAGCCTCCGCTGTTCCTCCCGTCTTGCTCCTCTCCGACTTCCTCGGAGCTCGAGGATAGCATGCACAATTTTATTATTAAATTCATAGGAGCAAACTATGTGGAAATTATCGCTTAATTTAATATGACTTATTCAAAAAATCCCCATCAGCATCAAGCTTATGTGCATTTTCTGCCCAAATGTTTTCTTTTTGTTGGGGATTTTTGTAACAGGGATAACTGTTGTATGAACTATGTTTGTTCTCTACGTCCAAACTCATCATCTCTTCATCCACGCCTGCAATAAGAAGTTTCTTTTGAAGTTGATGCGTTCTCTGAGATGCGTTCTCTGAAGTTGTTACTGGATTTGATAAAACTTTTAAGCCTCTCGGTATAAAAAAATATGTTGATGGAGATGAAGTGACCCCGAAACTTCACTGCCACAACTTTTTCTAGAGGGAATGGGAGATTAGCGATGGGTTGTATTTTACCAGGACTTTACGATAGCAAACTTTACGATAGCAGAACGTACAGCAGTTTAGTTTGGTTTAAGGAGAGTTTGGCAGGATTGGGGTCCAGTCACTTTATAGAAGAACTCATCTGACAGATAAAGTCCTCAACCTCACCCAGAGGGTTGTATGAAAACTGTGATAAGTATGAGAAGTACCAGAAGTATGAATGGATGAGGTGAAATGAGAATTCATTACACTGGTCCTCCATATGTTTCAGGACTGAATAGGTTTGTGGTTTGAGAAAATTATTGATGGTTGAAAATAGTTTTTTGGAATTACAGGACAGCTTTTGATCCTGTTGGAATAGTAAGGGCATCTTGCTATCATCAGAGATTTGGAGCATGGTTGTTAGTGCTGACCGCTGGTAGGTGTTGAATGTAAGTTTTTGTTATTTTGTTGCTTTCAGGATCAAGTCCCACTGTGAGGTTTCTAATGCACTAAAGAAGTGGCACATCGCTTACCACGGCACAAGCGTAGGAGCCCTGAGACGCACACTGGACCACGGCCAGCTGCTACCTGGTACAACAAGCGTCTTTATTATCGTTGAAGATCTTTTCTGTTATTTTCTTTTTATTTAACCATTTTTATTTTGCAGGAACATCGTCCATTTTTTTGGTGTCTCCGGTGAAAACCGAAGGTCCAAACGGCTACACCGAACCAGAGGAGAACTGCGCCCCCGGCAGGGAGGTTCCCAGGGTGCGGCTCTCCCCGACCATGCGCTACTCTGGCATGGAGTCATTTGCTCCTAAAGTGCAGTGAGTTTATCATCTTTCCCCCCATCTATTTAATGGAAACCAGAGCGTAGACGTTAAAATGTCGGCTGGGGGTTTTTCTCCTTTCCCTGCAGATTTCAGGACCCGCGTTCTCAGCGCCGCCACCAGGCTCAGGTGGGTTTCCAGGTGTGCGTACGGCCGGGCTCCTACAAGGTGGGACCTCAGACACTCAGCCACAGCGAGCCGCTAGATCCTCGCTTCAGCAACTCAGAGATCGAGTGGATAACGAAGGAGCAGGGCGGCATGCTTCTATACGGGCTGCTGATCCGGGTGGAGTGAAGGAAGCGAGACACTTTTGGTGGTTTTTGATAAACAGACAACCAAATCCAAGCCCTGCCTTGAGCAAGACACTCCTCTGGAGTCCAGCTGGTCCCAACAGCAGATTGTTGACAACTCAGCATTTTTGGTTTTGTTTGGGTCACTCACTTTGGTCGCTACTAAGAACAGACACTGCCTGCACTTTATGTTTCGGACACTAGTGGGCGATTTTCTAAACGTCTCATCGACACGTTTGTTTATTAGCTATGGTTTTCTCTCCTTAATTCATCATCAGTTTGCTCTTCCACCCTGGAGTAGCTTCTTTAGTTTAGCACTTTGGACCTTTGGTGAGTGTTTCATTATAGGAGGAGGTATTTCTCACCACATTTTACAAAGAAAATGACTGAAAGGTATGTATAATTGAAAAAAAGAGGGATGTGTTTTAAAGGCGATGAAGAAATGACGCAACACTTGAATCTAAATATGAGCCCGGAAGCATGGTGTGATTGAATGCGCTAGCGGGAAGATTTTAAAACTGGACTGCGGGATAAGTTTGTTTACACATCTGTCTTTCACTGCGTTTTTCTGTCCGCTTTTTGTCTTCGTATAAACAGACACTTTTCCATCGGTTTACACAGATCTCTGAGCCGGGATAACGTTTCACCCTCTAATGTGGCCATTTATTTATCTCAAATTTTTAACCCCAGAATTTGCATTTTAAAGGTTACGCATCTAGATAATGGGTTTATGTGCCAGTCGTGTCCCCGTGAACAGTTGCCGGAAGTTGGAAAAGGATCAAATCCAATATGGCTGCTGCTTACAATAAAACTCTAAGGAATTATGTTTGGGGAGATGACTGTGGGATTTATGCATTCGTATCTAGTTTCCAACTGGAACCTGATCCAGCTCAGGTTCCTGGGTCCAATTTCACTCTGTTTCAGCAATTCTCTGCGTTCCACTCGGTTGCTGGATCCCACTGAATGATCACTTAATAGAAGTCCAGAATATGGTTGGAAACAGGTTTTACAAAACTCTGGGTGGCACTTTTTAATGTGAAATAAAATATAGTTTATAACAGCAAGTTTTCTGCATGTGGCAGCCATATTGAATATTTAACAATTTGCTTTTTAAAACCTCTAATTTCAGGGATAATTCTTGATGTATTACCAACCATGAACAAGAAACCTGAATCCTGGATGGAATGAAAACCTCAGATCAATATGGTTTCCATGTTCCCTGAAAGTAACAGCAATAATCCTTTTGTATCTCACTAAACCAACCATGTTCTATGCTATTGCTTCTGAACATGTTCAAGTTGTGTCTTAATGCATAAATCCTACTTATTGCAACTAGAACCTGATTATTTGGAGAACGCCTTCACTCTCTGATCTAAATTTGGGGGAAAAAATTTGGAAAAACCTGTGGTATTTCCTAATTGAGGTGTTGGCCTCTAGTAGCAATACATGGTATTTTAGATTCACGTTAGGAATGTCTCTGGTTCAGTTAAAAACAACTATTATTTGTTAAATAAATTGACTTTCACCAATTATTTTATTTACCTGGCAGCCATATTGGATATTAACTTGTGGTTAATACCCAAAAGTTTGCTTTAGGGGCCATTAGTTTTGCATTTCCAGATGGGAACTCTGAAAATTCAGCTTCTAAATTACAAATGAAAACCTTTTAAAAGTTGCAGCCATGTTGGATTTAAACTCCTGAGATCTTCAATGTCAACCCTGTACCTGAGGTCAGACTTTCCAGGTGCACAGAACCGATCCAAAGTTCTGATAAATGTTTTTATTTTGGCGTGAAACAGAAATAGATCAGCAGACGTTTCATAATCACAGCTCCAACAGTCAGGACTAACAGGAAATTGGAATGGATGCTAGTTTGAGCTACAGCTCATGTATTACAAGTTACAGTAAATGTCCCATAGATTTCTGAAATGCAGATTCTGGTTTAGATATTTTAGATTTAAAACTGCCCTTTCTGTTTTTGAATTTTACAATTCTTACATTTATCCATTAAAAGTAAGCTATTGGCAGCTAGCTATGGTCCAGTTCTTCCAGAAGATTCTCAGATAAGTTGGATGTGCTTGGTAAAAACTAACACATAGGTGAAGTGAGTTTAAAAGGAAAGTAGAAACTAAGTATAGATAAAGAAATATCTAAATAAAAAGATTTTTAGTGGAAGCTAAGTGCTAGCTTAGCTTAAAAGCTAAAAAATGGGGATAAAATGCTTAGGTTAGCATTCTGCACTTCAGTACAGCGCTGTTCCACTGTCTTTAAGGAACGTCAACTGCTGACAGACATATGGGAGCATAACTGTATTATTTTATAGTATTTATAACAAAGGGGAGGGGTTGGGGTATTATAATTTTATAAGTTAACTAGGTTATAAAGTTATGTTTGCATATATTTATCTGTTTTGCCCATGCTAAGCTAAGTATATTCCAATATCAAATATCCCTTCTAAAACGTCCAACAAAACCAAAAGGTATGACGACATTCTTGCTTCCAATCACCGTTTACACTCCATGCAAACCCGTCAATCCTTCACGCCTGACGCCGTTTACCGGGCCGACGCCACCTCCTGCAGGGCTCAGAAACATTTCCTTTGTTTGACATGGGGTATCCATCAAACTGGTGTTTACATTTGAATGTTTATAATTAGGGCTCTGAATTAGGATTATTTTACACTTGCTAAATGTTTATAATTCAAAACACCTGCTTGAATTGTTTACAATCAGCCATTTTTTCTTTTTCTTTTTTTTTGCCAAATCGCATCCAGGGGGAAAAGGGTTCATAGCTCATGTGTCAACCTCTCAGAAATGACAGTCAGAGAAGCTCAGTCATTAATCAGGGGGAGAAAAACTTAAAATAGAATAAAAAAAAAAAAAATGTGAAAGATGTTATTAAACGGGTTATTTCAAGCCCAGTGCTGCTTTGTACACTTTAATTTGTATTTTTGTTTTTTTTTTCTCTGTATGTTGTGTTGTACAGGCTGTTACATAACAAATCATATCTTCATGATTTATAAAAAAAAATAAAAGCAAGAGAACTGACAAACGGTAAAGGATGGTTAATGTGTTGGTTTGTGTGGAATGTGTTGGGAAATAGAAAAAAGGGCATTTTTGTGAGTTTTCTTCAAACTTGATTTAAAATCTGAAAGAAAGGCCTTGTCTCTGGCATGTTATTGCACTGGTGGACTGAATCACAGCTTTTCCAATATGTTGTCCACTAAAATGACCATTTAAGGCAGATAGTGGGATTTTTGTTTTCCACAGCTTTTAAAGACGTAGCAGCAGAAATAGATCAACAAATTTAATAGAAAATAAAATCAAAAAGCAGTCTTTCTTTAAAATCACTATCTTTGCTAATTGACTAATTTATCGCTGACGGGTCGTCTGCTCTGCTCTCTGCGGGGTGTCAAAGATGGGATGAACATAATGGCGTCAATTTTGCTTCGGTAACTAAACCCTGAGTTCTGACATCTGATAGAGCTCTGCCCTGCCTTTACCACAAATTACATTTGGGAGAAGTCATTTAGGTGAATTTGAAGTGGATGAAATAATTCATTCTTCTGTGGAATGAGGACTTGGCCACGTCCAACTATTTACTGCTACCGACATCTGTTAACCCAACGAATTGGAATAAATAACTTTACATGGTGGAAATTAAAGGTATAATGGAGGATTTTCACAGGTTTATCAAAAGACCCTCCCTCTACACTTATAAAAAAAAAAAAAGCCCAACCCTGTACCCACTCTTGGGAGGGAACGCCTATTAAACGTTTGTGAGAGCGTGCACAAGCCCATTTCTCCAGGAGCAAACTCTGTTTAAAAGTTGCACTTCGCATCGCTCATACAGGCTTACTTTCCAAAAGAAGATTTGCAATTTTTCCACAATGTCAGACTCACTTCGGTAAGTGAAAATGGGGACGAGCACGTAAACTTATGTAAACATATCACCAGAATGATTGACAATTAGAAGGAGCACTTATTTTGATGATCACCTGGAGAAAGAACATCTTCCACTATACCTTTAACTTTAGATGCAGCTTCACCTTTCTAAGTATACCTGTTACAATTGTTTTATGTTCATGTTACATAATTTCATTTTTTTATATATAAGAATTTCACACTTTTCCCAGACTTCAGGATACTGGAGTTCTGTCCTTCATGTTCACTATAAAATACAGAAGTTTACTGTGACTAAGGCTTTCAATCTAATATTTGCCAAGATTTGCATGAAAGGAAAAAATAAATGGAAGGGAAGAAAGAAGAGAATACAGGAAAAATTAAAAAGAGAGAGTACTATTACAGGAAAGGTAGGAAACAGCATTTAGATATCACTAGGAAATAAAGGCTTGCAGGTATTTTTCCAACGGTTGCTATGAAGTCAAATCCTTGTAGGCCAGTCCTACGACCTTTAGATGTGTCCTGTGCCCCACAGACCTGAATTAATGACTAAACCACCTCATTAATACAGTCTGGCTCTACAGGTCTCTGCTAAGGAGCTTTTAGTGAACCCAGGTGTGTAAAAGCAGAGATACAGAACCTCGGGTCTTTAAAGACCCCCCTCTTTCCACATATAAACCAGGGATATGAATGAATGCAAATACTAAACAATTGTTTTAGTCATCAGCCAATAATGATCTGACTTGTTCTCATGCCACAGTAAGCAGACACTCTGCATTGATAAAACAAAAATTCACTCACCTCAGCATGCTGAATGTTTGAAGTATCCGACAGGCGGGGGCAGATTTTTTATTCTGTTATTATTTGAATACATGGGCGAGTTCAGTAACTGTTTACAGAGCTTTAAAAGTTAATTGAATCCCTTCATCCTGATATAAACACACCATTAAACATAAGAGGCACACCTTAAAATAAAGACCGTAGAAATTGTCTCATTGTCTTGACCCTTCTATCGAGTTATTAAAGATTCAAAAATAGATTAGGGCTTCAACTAACGATTATTTTGCAAATCGATTAATCTGTTGATTATTTTTTCGATTAATCATTTAATAATCGGATAGCAAAAGGTTCCCTAAAGAAGACTTTTTATGAAATGAAACCAGGTGAATCTAAAACTTTTCCACTTGAGGAGTTCTGGATAGAGTGTATTGACAGATGAAAAAGCTTTTTTTTAATCATAAATGTAACTAGAAAAAGCTGTTTCGGAGAAACAGCAAAGTGGGAATGCTTTTTTTGCTGAATGTAAAAAGCTGAAATTAACTGCAGAACATATGAAAATGTGATAGGAAGTCATCAGAAACTTCAAACTGCAGAAAACAATTGAATCATCTGAAGATTTTTTTAGGGTAGAATTATTTGGCACTAAAATGGCAGAAAGAAACTCATCTTAAAAGCTGCACAGCCAAACCATACATAATATCAAAAATGTCATTAATGTGTGCACTAGAAGGGTCTTAATATAATGTCTATCAAATTTCTAGAAAAATTTCTAAAGAAATTTTGAAGTGGGGCCACCTACTGCCCAGAAACATGTCAGGCATGTTATGAATTAGCAGCAAACAGAAAAGCTTAATTCCTGTCCAGAAAAAGAGCAAAATTAAGCCAAGGTTCACAGCATAGGCTGAAAAATATTAAATTAGCTGAATCAGAAAAGAAATTACAAAGAAAAAATTTAATCTTATCTGGTTGAAGAAAATATGAGTAGCTCAAGGATGGGAAGTAAAATGTTGAGGAAGATGGTATTGAATAAGTATCAAAATTTTGAAATTGTGGAAATGTCAAGACTTGGCACAACAATTTGAAATGATTTAAAATGTGTTGGTTGATCAGCATAAAGAAAACAGTGTCA